TGCGTAAGCCTTCAGTGGCTTGTCCGTTCCATGTTTGATGCACAATAACCCAGCTCTGGATTCAGCGTCTTTCAGTAGCATTTCGAATGTATCACCTCCGATCGTGTTTACGTCAGCGCCCGAGTCGATCAAAAAGCTGACTTGGATCCCTGATATTTTGCCAATAATTACTCCATTTTCATTCAATTTCGACGATTCATTCACACCTGAAATGCATGTTTCTGATTCCTGAAAATTTATTTGTATATAAAGTACGAGATTTAGCTAAAGGATAAAATTTATACACACTAACCGTCAGCGTTGTTCCCTTCTCGATTGTGTTTTTATCATTATCAGATGAGCACACGTTAGATGCTGCTCTATCTTGGGAAGAGCATTCTAGCTGTTTGATCTCTCTTTTAGAATCTTTCGTTTTGGACTGGGATACATATTTCTGTTAATCAAAATGGTCATTCTTAGCAACATAATGATAATACGTAATGTACGAGTTCATTGTATATTTATTGATTTAAAAAAAGTAGCTTTAAGTAACAGTAATGAAAACGAGGCCAAAGTTTTTTTTTTAATAGCCCGTAGCTATATCAAAACAATCAAAATAACTTCTATATTGAAATGCAAAAATCAATCCAGTAGCTCGCAAAAGTAACGAATGATAAAGCCAGATCAGTTATGCCGAAGAAGGTGAACTTACACAATCATTGACAGCTTCATCCTCGTCGTGCTTAACAATAGCGACCTTCTTTGACGTAAACGCGACTTCTTTATCATCGGTGCTGATGCGTCGCTTGATCGGTCCCGATGACGGCATTCGACGACAAGCTCGTGCCACATGTCCCATACGTTGGCAATTATGACAAGTCTGCTGAATGGACCAACATTCCGTTGCGTTGTGCCGGTTACTCAAACACCTCCAGCATCTGTTTTGCTGGGAGGTTGCCTCTCTGACGTATCCACGACGAACAAATCCTCTTCCTCTAGTACCTCTCCAGTTACCACCAAATCGTGGTTGGTCATTACGTGGGTATCTCTGGCTGCCAAACCGATTATTGTTGAAAGTCTCGTTCCCTGGTTTACCAGCAGTCACAGCTGCCACCTGTACCTGCTGTAGAGCTTGCTGATGATTTTTCGCATACATCTCTTCGTTTATTTGATCCATCTCCAAAGCTCGAACTTTATCCAGTAACTCTCCGAGCTGTCCACCTTTGCGCAGAAATTTCCTGGCCACTTCACGAACCTTGAGATTTGAAGCATGGGCTTGAATTGAGTCCGATATCTGCTCTACCAAGATAGTTTCGTCGAAGTCGCATAGCTTTGCTACCGCAATCACCCGTTTCACATATTTGGAATCTGTCTCGTCTACTTTCTGTGCCAGTGATCGGAGCTTTTGTCGTTGCATAAACAAATAATCTCGAGAACCAAAAAATGAGCCAAGTCGATGGATTGCGTTTGAATAAGGGGCTGTACGAATATCTGGTGAATTGGAATCTGACACTGTTCCTTCAAGAATGTCCAATAGTTTCAATCCTGCCTTTATTTTGAAAATGTTCATCCTCGTAACTTCATCCGATACTCCTGCCAGCTGCATGGATGCCTCCAGGAGATCCTTCCATTGCTCATACGTTTTGCGATCGATGTCTTCTTCAGCGTCGCTTGGCTTACATTCTGGTACTTGTAGTGATGCAAAAGACAGATTACTCATAGACGTCATCAAAACAGTATTTTGCTCATTGGTCGAATTGTCCTCGTGCATAGTAGAGTGTAATCGTACAAAACTACCTTCTGCGAACGAATGCTCCAGCTGTTTCTTGTCAGATCGCACTTTCTTCAATTTCGATCGCAAGGTAGAGTTTAGCTTCTTTTCCTCCTCAAGTTGTTTTGCCAACATTGTTGCATCCTTGATCGAAGCTCTGGTTATCTTCCTGTTGAAATAATCCATAATGTTTACATTAACATTGTTTAAATTATCATTTTCTATTTCGAGAAATATAGTCATTATTGGCTATCTGTTGTTGTTTATTAATTATTCCAAACAAACTTATATTACTATTAATGTCATGTTAATTTACAGATTCAATAAAATCTTACGATTTTCGCTAAGTACCTGAACAGATCGAATGGAAAGTATCAACTCAGTTGGATTTATTATAATTTGTTCAAGCAGTGACCTTGAAGCTTTGGATAAGACTCAACCGGTTCAAACGGACACTACGGAACGCAACAACCCGTTCGAGGGTTGGATTTCATCCTTGTACCCAACCGGGTCAAACGTCCACTATGGAATGCACCAACCCGCTCAAGGGTTGGATTTTATCCTTGTACCCAACCGGGTCAAACGTCCACTATGGAACGCACCAACCCGTTCGAGGGTTGGATTTTTATCCTTCGACCCAACCGGGTCGAACGTTCACTACGGAACGCACCAACCCGCTCGAGGGTTGGATTTCATCCTTGGACCCAACCGGGTCAAACGTCCACTACGGAACGCACCAACCCGCTCAAGGGTTGGATTTTATCCTTGTACCCAACCGGGTCAAACGTCCACTATGGAACGCACCAACCCGTTCGAGGGTTGGATTTTTATCCTTGGACCCAACCGGGTCGAACGTTCACTACGGAACGCACCAACCCGCTCGAGGGTTGGATTTCATCCTTGGACCCAACCGGGTCGAACGTCCAGTACGGAACGCACCAACCCGCTCAAGGGTTGGATTTTATCCTTGTACCCAACTGGGTCAAACGTCCACTATGGAACGCACCAACCCGTTCGAGGGTTGGATTTTTATCCTTGGACCCAACCGGGTCAAACGTCCACTACGGAACGCACCAACCCGCTCGAGGGTTGGATTTCATCCTTATACCCAACCGGGTCAAACGTCCACTATGGAACGCACCAACCCGTTCGAGGGTTGGATTTTTTTTTATCCTTGGACCCAACCGGGACGAACGTCCACTACGGAACGCACCAACCCGCTCAAGGGTTGAATTTTATCATTGGATCATATTGCCAATAAATAATCACTTTAGGAAGAAGAAGAAAACTAATCGAAGCAACTTCATTTTTTTTTTTATAAACTTTTGCTTTGAGTATTTCCACAAATTTCATCATCATAAAAGTAATTCAATTATCATCTCATATCTTATATGAATTTAAATAAATAGAACCGCTAGTAGCGATTCAAGATATGAATTATTTCAATTAAAATGTCCACGCCATTTTGTATTTAGTAAGAGATTCGTAGCTAGAACACCGTTCTCTTTTCAGAAAAATTTCTGCGTTGCGAAAAATTATACGTATACTTTATTCACTATCTGGCCGAGAATAATTAATCAACTATTACTACTTACTTTCTGATGGGAGCGTTATTGGTGTCCACGACTGCGCCATTGTCGGATTTCCCAGATTTCTCCATCTTTTCAATCTGTAAATTGATGCACACAACTGAACTGAACTGTTCTTGTTCACGTCTGTCTCAAAACTGATCAAGTTATCCTCTCTCAGCTCTCAATTTCCATGGAAGCTTTCCCGTTTGCGATGCTTTAGCTACGTGTTTTCTCAGAGACATACTACAATTACAGCTCTCAATTTCTATGGAAGCTTTCCTGTTTGCGATGCTTTAGCTACATGTTTCTCTCAGAGACGTACTAGAATTACTCTAGCGCTTTTGAGAGATTAGTGCTTTCGCTTTATTTCTCCTTTTCACTCTCACACTCTCGCGTTTCTGAGAGCTAAGTGCTTTTGTTTTATTTATTTTATTCACATTCTGTTTGAGGTAGCAGGCTACTAGGCTACACACGATTTATTATTATCACATGCATTATTATTATTTGAATACACTAGAACTATTATTACTTTTAATTTATTATCAACATATATTATCTACAGAGAAGTCGCCAAATCCTGGATAATGTCGGGTTCTGCCTGATCATTAAAATTTGTCGTTATCCCAACGTAACACAACCGAAAGTAAAATTGTATTTTCGAAACACTCCACCTAGTCTGAACACTTAACGCTAGACTAAGAATAGTGAGAAAATTTCCTTCTACGAAAAGATCCATCGATTGGACCGCGCATCGAACCCTCACTTCGTTGATATTCTCTTTGTTAATGGGGTGTTTACATCTGTGCGGATTTGCTAGCGCTAGTGTATTCGCCAACTAGCACGAATTTCAGTTGCTCCTGAAATCTCATGCTGGTAGATGCTGATGCCCTGTTTACATTACACACTTAAATTGTTTTCGCCGAGATTCCAACAGCCGAGTAGTTCTGCAAATTTATTATGCTGAGATTCAGTAAAACAATTGCCGAGACTCAGCTAACAAATAACTTTTTGCTGAAATATCAGCTAATAAAAATATATTTTGCAGAGATATCAGCAAAAATAAATGCCGAGGTTATCGGCTGTTGGAGATTTTACCGAGCTAGATTAAGTGTGTATGCTAGTGAGCTTTTTTGCTAGCAGCTAGTTCATTAGCGCCAGTGAAATAGCATAAGTGTAAACACCCCATAAGCGAACCAATTATCGAAATTATTCCAATGCCGTATAAGCACAGACAAACAGACATAACAGTCGCAAGCTGTTCATCGAACAAGCATTTAACGGTCAATTTAAAAGTATCGTAGTTGGTAGTACCGCCACCTGTGGCGCGCATAGTCAATTCCCTTGCGTTTGACGTTTACACACTACCGCCATCTGTTCAGCGTACTACCCACCACAGTGTACTCAACAGATGGCGGTAATGTTTTAGCGACGATGTTTTACAGTGAGAAATATTCAATATGTTATGTCTGTTTGTCTGTGGTATAAGGTTTATTTCCTCACAAAAAAAAAGATTCTGGAAGCTTAAATATGTATATTAACTGTCAAATGCAGTATCCGTGTACATTTGGATAAAAATATGCTTTTTTTTTTTTTTTTTTGCTCTCCCTCTAACACGATTATGTTCGGACAACAAGTGGAAATAAATGTTTTAACGGACAATTTATTCTGTTTCCTTCCAGATTCGTGCTGAAAATCCGACAACATGTCGCACCTGTTTCCTAGTGCAAAGGGTGACCAGCTGTGCCCACTCGGATTCCATCCGCAGGTGCGCTGGCCAACACGCTGCAAACGATGCTTCCGTGACTACAAAGAGCACGGTAACAAACGAGGTGGCGAAGATATCACCGCTTCCACACCGGTCCTGCCCGGCTCGTCCCATTCGCGGTAAGTAGAAACGTTATGAGGCTTTGCAAACATTAGTTCCATTATATCGTGGGGGGAGGAGGGTTTGTCGCAAAAAATAAATAACGAAAAAATAATGAATGAATAAACAACTAATAAAATGATAAATTAATAAATTGTAAATGGGGCTGATTTTTAAAGAGGGGGGTGACGTAAAATAAAAAGAAAATTTGCATCAGCAGCACCACTAATAAAAAAATTAATGTTCCAGAAGTCGCGATGGAGGTAGTAGCACAAGTTTGGACAAACCCGTGCGAAGTTGGACATCTACACAGAACTTGTTCGTTTCCAATCACGGAAGCAGTAGTGACAGACCACCGGGGCTTCCACAGCGACCCGCTTCCTGGGCCTCGACGCCCGATCTAGACAACATTCTACAGCAAGTGAAGGCAGACTTTACTGTTAACTTGACGCTTCCACGAAGGAGGCATACTACTACATTCGACAACGTGAGTTGGAATACCTCGTGATTTTTCACGAACTGATCGATAACATTCAAATGATTTTCAGTTTGAAGAACCAGAGACGACAGTTACTATCAAAAGACCACCGCTGCCGCCAATCTTGAAGGTAGAACCTAAGAAGGATGACACCAGGAAAGAACTGGAGAAAGCAGAAGACCAGGGAATAATTATTGAGAAGGGAGACTCACTTGCCGAACGAGTACGCAAGATGAATTTGATCAGACGTCAGGGCAGCGCTGAACGGGACAGTCGAGAGCGATCGGTACCCAACAAGGAGTGAGTATAATAGCTGTTAGTTTATTTTTATTATATTAATAAATTTCAAAATTTAATTCCAAGGGAGGAGGAACCACCAATTCACCATATAAAACCAATTAAAGTCGTCGAGCCGGAGAAAGTAGAACGTAAGCGTCGTATTAGACCCATTCCAGAAACCTCAGCGGAGGAGCAATCTAATAAACCTCAGCTATCGCTAAGCAAAACAACGATCACATCCACAAAACCGCTTGGAAGCACTACTTTAGCACCTGTAAAAGAGAAAGAAACTAAAAAACCCACCAAGCCTGCTACAAACGAACCAGTAAAGGAGTCTACAAAGATAATTCGTCGACGACGCGTTGACGCAGGACCATTTGAGTCTTCTTCGAAACCTTCGGTTGCTCCAACTCCAACTCCGAAACCGATAATAGCTCCAACGCCTAAACCCGATCCGTTAGTGAGCAATAGTAGCGATGATGTCAAATTCCTTATCTCTATCAAAGACAACAAATTGAAATTGGACGAGGATCTTCACTCGATTACTACGGATACTACCGAAACTACGATTGTTGATCATAGCGATAACTATGAGTTGCAGGAAGAAAATGAAAGCTTGAGACGAGAGTTGGAAACCGTGAAAGCGAGGTGTGATAGGGCGGAACGAGAAAAGAGTGACATACTGCTACGTAGACTGGCGTCTATGGATACGGGATCGAACAAGACGGCGGCATCAGAAGCTCTCAAGCTTCAACAAAAAGTAAACGAACAGAAACAGGTGATTGAAGATCTCCAGGATGAGAAGAAGTTCCTATCTACGAAGGTGAAGGAAATCGAATCAGACATCAAAATTCGGGGCGTAAAGAATGTAGAAGAACAACTCAGACAGAAGCTGGAACAAGCGGAGACGCTGTGCGAGGAACTGATGGATGAAAATGAGGAAATCAAACGTGAGCTCAGAAACATGGAGTCCGAGATTGAAGAAATGCATGACAACTTCCGAGAGGAGCAAGCAGATGAATATGCCTCACTGAAAAAGGAGCTCGATCAAACTACCAAGAATTGCCGCATATTGTCGTTTAAATTGAAGAAATCAGATCGTAAGATTGAACAGTTGGAAATCGAGAAGACTACGCTCGGTGCCAATACGGACCTACCTGCGAAGGTCAAACAACTGGAAGATGAGCTGAAGGTCGCGAACGAAGTTGCCCGTCGCCTACAAGGTGAACTGGAACAGATGGAATCAAACCCAACTACTCCAACGAAGAAAACACCCACTTTGGGCAAAATAGGAAAGTCAACATCGGCGGATAACAAGTTCTCTCGAGCATCTTTAACACGAGGAGGATCACAGGAGGATCCAGTCCAGCTGCTTCGCGATTTACAAGATTCTCTGGAACGTGAAGCTGATCTTCGTGAACAGTTGAAGTATGCCGAGGAAGAAGCCGAAAATCTTCGCCGCAAGTCCGGAAGAGTCGAGGATGACAACGAGTCTCTCATGATGCAACTGAAGAAGATGGCTACGAAGGCGAGAAGTACTGATCGTTTTGGAATAAAACTACTAAAACTTACTAATTTGTACGAGTTTTCTTTGTTACTAACATTCTAATGATGTTTTCAAGCACAAAATCGATGGAATCGACTGTGTTGGTTTGCACATCACTGGAAGTGGTTTCAGAGCACGTCTTTGTTCCGTGATAGTTTTTAGTGTTTTACGTGCCAGTAGAGTAGTAACCGGAGCCATGGTTTTGTTTTCTCCTTTATTCGACTGCAACTTCAGCAAAAGGTATTTTCAATACAGGTAGAAAGCTAAGTCCAAGTCCTCCAAACCGTCGCCTAACCCCGGAAGGTCCAATGGATAAGGACGAGGGAATTTCGGATGAAGATGATCCGGCTGAACTTAGGCTGCAGCTTGAATTGAACGAACAAGAAACGGCCGTTTTGCGACGCAAGATCGAAGAGTTGGAAATCGAGAACAAGCGTAGCCGGGAGCATGTCAAGGAACTCCAGGAAAGTTTGATATCCAAGACGAAGGAAATGGATAAACAGAATAAGCTACCGTCGCTGTTGGGATCAAAGAGCGGTGGGGTGAAGGATCCACTGGATGGGAAAAAGATTAAGGTAATGGAGGACGAAATCAGTGAGCTCAGGATGAAGTTAATCGAGAAGGATCGAGAGGTGGAGCGTGTTCAGGCCGAATTGAGTATAAGCAAAACGAAGGGCGGTAAATCGTTGGTTAAATCCAAGTATGTGAAGTTATAACTAGTATACCTACTTCAAAATATAAACATGAATTCTATATTATTTCTATAGATCATTGGACGCCGACCAACAGGTACAGGATCTGAAGCGACAGTTACAGGTTATCGAACAGGAAGCAAATGTACTGCGACAGAAGACTCAAGCACTGGAACAAGAGAACGAAAAGTACACTGCCGAAATCAAGCAGCTTCAACAGACCAAAGCAAAGGATAGCGAAGCCGAGACCAAAAAGCTGAATGGCACCATTCAGGAGTTGCAAAAGGACAAGAGTGAACTGGAGAGCAAGTTGAAACGCATCACGGCGGAATCGTCCACTGGTATGCCATCGAGGATACCAAAGGCGCCGAACGATATGCACACCAAGCTACAGTTGAAGGTGGGTCTTTAAGAATTAACAGTAGTTTGCAATACATAACGTACGTGCATTGCAAAGTTAGTAGTAAAAGTACCTTTCTAGAGTGTAACAAGGGATGGAAAAACAATTCTCGAAAGACTTCCAAACTGCGAACGCACATTTCAAGAAAGGTAACACTTGTGATTAGCATCAGTGTTAGATACATTACACTAATATATAAAGTTCTATTCATGTTGTTATGGGATGAACTAGGAACTTTCTGGGCATAACCTATATGATTATTCAGGAAATGAGGGCAAACAATTTTTAGAAATCTGGACAAAAAAGTTGATAGAAATCTGGAAACATCTTTGAGATATTCAAATCAATCTGGTGTGCAAATGGACGTCATAAAATAACTTCTTTTTAATTCGTTTTTTTTTTAAATTGCCCTAATGCTTAAATAATGGTGGTTTTTTATCTGACTCTTCCCGACTCAATATACCGTGTTGATCTCATAGTACGGGCCCCGTAGCTCTCAATCTCTTCTTCTCCATTCATAGTCTCATCTCTTCATATGTTTATGCTTTTATGCTTTTAAGTCTATGATTCCAAAATTTCGGCTACTTTTTAAGGATTTCTTTCTTTCCATTGTTCTCATTGGTCTCCGGAATCACCACATCTTCCATTTCCTTCATTCCTCTGAAATCTGTGTTAGGAAAATCGCTTTTCGCAGGCAATCGGTGATAATTTAATTATAAAAGCAACAGTTGCACGGTTGCACATTCGTGCAATGTTCAAAAGTGACATCTTGAAAATGATAAAGTCTTAAATTAAGTAGATGCGTAGAAATATATCTGATCGATTGGTGATAAAGTTATTGAAATTGGTCTAGGGGAAGCTGAGTTATTAGCGTTCAAAATCTTTCATAATTTTGTTACATGTTCCATTTTCGGTTTTCACAAAGTGTACCCCCATATATAAATCACAGACGTAGTTATACGTCAAAAACTTATTTTCTTGAAATAAAATGAACATAACTTCTTGAAAGTTTGCTCATTATTGGTCGTAATAAAGATCATTCATCTGCCACTAATTTTACTAAAATTCTTCCACTATGTAAAAAGTTGAAAATCGAGAGTTTTACAAAAAAAAAAATCAATAAACATCTGTTATGAAAATTTTTTTATATTCTATAGTTATAGCCTTGCATTGAAATAAATTTCATAGAGAATGAATAAAATTGAAATTTAAGATAGGGCCAAATAGAGGATCACTAGGGCCAAAAACTGTCACACTTACCCTAATTGATATTTATTTATTTCAAGTACCCATACATTTTTTTTTAATGTTGTGTAGATTCCAGATCATGTTTTTTTTTAAGGTTACTGATAATCTTCAAATTTACCTCCATTACATTTGTTAGTGGATCCTTGAGTAAAGCTAGGAATACAATATGTACAATAATTTCAGAGAATGATCGATGATTGTGAGAATGAAATCAACGAGCTGCGGGCCATTGTGGGTCGATCGGGTGCCATGAACATAACCACGTTGGAGAATGAGAAGAAAAAGCTTCAAGTAGAGCTGACTGAATCGAAGGAACAGCGAACGAAACTGGAAGCGGAAATAAGTGAGTAGAAAAGCTTCCCTTGTTTTAAATATGTATTCAGTTTGTTAAGACATGTTAAGGATTTTATTGAACATTTTTTTTCATTATATTTTAGGAAAGCTAGCTGCACCCAAGGTTTCTGCGGAGCTTCAGGCGATTAAGTTAAGTGAGGCGCAACGTACAGTCCAGAAGTTGGAGGATGAAAATAAGAAGCAAATCGATAAAATCAAAGTTCTGGAAGAAAAAATTAGCAAGATTACTACAAATGTAAGTCTTTACAAGATAGTATGTTCTTACCATTTCACGAACGATCTGGTAATTAATGATTTAATGTTACGCAAAGGTCTTCATTGCTCAGTTGTTACAGTTGAGATTGATTCAACGGACTTAGCATCTCCGCATTTGTCAGAGAAGGCCTTGTCCTCCAGTCTTTCAGATTCCACTTTAATAGTGAGCGCTTGTGCGCGGATTTCCAACTCTTCCGATTCATCTTTCTCAGAGTCTTCTTTATGAACACTTTCCTTAGAACGCCTATTAGTTTGAGACCCTTGACGACTCTTCCGTCCTCTACGCTGGGCAACAAACGGGCTTCCCTTGACGGATTTGAATCCTGGTCCGGTGACTTTGGAAGCGATGATTCCGAATTCCACTTCCTCTCCGTCACCTACTGACTTCGTGGTGTGTCGTCGGTTCGGTTTCAGAATTGAGCTTTTATGAACGAAAATATCCTCTCCTGTATCGTGTCGAGTGATGAAGCCGAAGCCATCTTTGGCGTTAAACCATTTGACTGTTCCCGTAATTCGTTTGCGTGGAGCGCGTGGAGCTGATTCCATTTTCTTCTTTTAGTGTTCTGAATCTGAAAATTGGGAATAGACAACAATAATGATGGGAAATCAATAAAGTATCGGTATGGTTTGGTAACCTTCAACCAGGACTAAACATATTATAATGCAGGCCAAAAACCTACCTTAGATTCCACTTCCGGAGTTCCGGATACAACCGACTATCTACTATAGGCGCTATATTTATAGTATGGCGGATAGAATTTCGATATATCAAAAAGCGGAACCAAGTGTAGACCAACAATTGAAAAGGTACTATCATTGTGTATAAAGAAAACGTTGATTATTCTTTCATCGCCAATCGAACGCAAATTACTTTCCCCAACCCAAAGATGGTGTAAGTTTGCATAGGCGAGCCTTGAGTCACAAGAAAACGGTTTCCGAAGTTATGTTCACAATAGCTGATGTGCTCTTTTCTGTTGTTGGTCGTGATTTGCTATTTGACAGCTCAATTGGTTCCAGAGATTCTATCCGCCAGACTATGAATATAACGACTATACTATCTATATATCTAATATAGCTGAACATTGCATTATGTCCTAAGTAACATTGATCGATTCTCTTCGTCGACTTTCTCTTTCGTTAATAACTTGAGCACAGAACCGTTTCTTTATGTGTTTGTCATAATAGATGCTATATAAAAGCTTTTTTTACCGATCTGTGTGCTGAAAATACCTGGGAATATCTTTACATGGCCGTGGAGAGGCAAAGAGAAAGTCGACGAAGAAAATCTTTTAATGTTACTTAGGACCTAATGCAATGTTCAGCTTAATAAACGGTGTAGGGCCTAGGATTGGGCGATCTTGGATCGATCTTTGAACGAATCGATGTTTTTGATCTCGATTTCCGATTTTTTGGATCGATTCTTTATTTCAAGCTGAACATTGCATTAGGTCCTAAGTGACATTGATCGATGCTCTTCGACTTTCTCTTTCGTTAATAACTTGAGCACATCTGGGACGGGACTTGACAATCGGGTAGCGATTTCGAGCCAATTTACTGTCAAATCCGAGCCAGTTTCTGATTGGTCGATTTGACAGTAGCAATCGTGGAATAAAAATAACAGAGGGATCGCATCAATCTGGCTGGCACTGATGCCGGAATCAATGTTGACGTCGATGGCGTTGTTAATTGTTTATATTTGCGAAAGGAAAGTTGTAAAGTTGAGTGCACTGCGTGTTTTAAGCGATGGATATTTTTGTTTGTGTATCGTTGTTTTTATTGTGTTGAACAAACATTATGTACAAGCTGTTAAACTGCGGTAGTAACTCTAAATAAAATCCAAATTAAAATAGAAAAATAAAATTACATTCCTGGCATCATTGGTCAACTCCGTCAAACACCACGCGCAACTATCCGAAGGGCATTCTACAAAAACACTAAGAATAGGGAGAAGCTCGATTGTCAAGTCCCGTCCCAGGAGCACATAACTGTTTCTTGTTGTATTTGTCGTATTAGATGCTAGATAAAAACTTCTTTTATCGATCTGTGTGGAGAAAGAAACCTGGGAATGTCTTTAATTTAGCTGATTATTTTTGAAAGTGAGGTCGGTTGAGGCCTTATTTCTGATGAATCCTTGCTGCATAAAAAAATTAGGTCCAACAATAACAATATGAAAATGGATCCCAACATATGGAACTGTATTTACAAAGCGTGAAGTTTGTGTAGTTTCCGAGATTATACTCTGAGAAATTTAAATGATAATGCAAGTCCGTCATTATGTCGGCCATATTTGAACTTCACCAAGTAGGGCAAGGTGGGACAAGATAGGTCAGCTAGTACATTTGTTGATTCATTTGAATGTTAAAATCATGGATCCAATGCAACCCTAATGATGGTTGGCTTTTTCAAACCAGCATTGGGCCACATTAAGCCTGTCGATGTTGATACTCAAAAAAATTAATAAATTAGGGAGATGACTTATCTTGCCCCACCTTACCCTATGTTCTCAAATTGGAAAACGCAGATGTTGTATGATGAAAAGTGAACAACTATAAAAAATTCGGCCTAATGACCCATCACCAGACATGGAAAATCATTTGCATTCATTTCATACATTCATTTACATTCATTTCCCGCATAAACGCGAACCATAACTTGACCTTACCGAAAATGGTTAAAAATTGTTTATAATCCCTGCTAAACTTTAACTGAAATCGTCATGGAACTTTACATGAACGTTTGTGTGATAAAGTTTTAACCTTATATATTATGGTTCTTTGGAAGTGAACCTTACAAATAATGGGTTGTTAAGAACCATTACCATTACGCATGATGAGGGATTATAAACAATTTTTAACCATTTTTGGTAAGGTAAAGTAATGGTTTGCATTTATGCGGGTTGCCTCTAACTTTTTTCATCGACAGCATACCGCAAAATGATGTACAGCGCTTTTGTAGGTTTTGTTATTAGCTACAACTCATAACGCAAATCTGTATCTCTTATGTCTCACAAACTAGAGCGGGCAGAACTTGTTACCGCTTTTCAGTGAATGTAAAATACATTCACTGAAAAACAGTAGTGGTTTCTGTTCGCTCTGGTTCGCCTCACATAAGAGATACGGATTTGACTTGTTAACCAAAGTTGTAGCTAACAATACAACCTGAAAAAGCTCTATACATTATTTTGCAGAATGCTGTTGAAGAAAAAAGTTGGAGACAAATGAATGTAAATGAATGCACGAAATGAATGAAAATGATTTTCCATGCCTGCCCATCACGTATGCGATCTGTTGAGTGCTGTTGATATAACCTTGAAGGTGGTTGGTAGCTAGGAATCTGGAAATGTTTGATGATTTTTCGTGTTTTGTCTGTATTATTTAAAAACTGGCCCACGTCCCAGTTCATCTTTTATATTCTGGCAAAAGCGGATAGTTAATCAATTTATTATTAGGGTAGGTGAACCAGTTTGAGGCCTCCCTTAGCTCAGTCAGTAAAGGCGCAGCTACAAAGCAAGACCATGCTGGGTTCGATTCCCGGTCCGGTGGCTGGGTTCGATTCCCGGTCCGGTCTAGGAATTTTTCGGGTTGGAAAATTTCTCGACTTCCCTGGGCTTAGAGTATGATTGTACTTGCCACACAATTATACTAATGCAAAAATGGTACAGGCATCGAAAGCTCTCAATTAATAACTGTGGAAGCATTTAGAACACTAAGTTGAGAGCACGCAATAAGCTAATATGCGATATGCAATAAGCTTTAAATGTGAAGAAGAAGAAGAATAAGAAGAAGAAGAAGAAGAAGAACCAGTTATGGCTATACGTTCCTATTATAGCCTATGGAATTCCTATATGCCATAATTTTAACACATCATGATAGAAACGTAAGGTATTGTTACGTCATTAAACTGAAAAATACCATACAGATTTACAACTTCTTTTTTTTTTAAGAGCGGAAATGATGGAAGAAAATACAGAATACTGAATCAGTAACTTTAAATTACTGCAGATGCGGGAATATATTTAATGAAACCGCCAGTACCCAGATCGTATACTATAATAATATTCAATTTCAGATGAAGGCAACTGAATCGACCAAGACCCAGCTGGAAACGCAGTTAAAGACCGAGATGGATAAGCTTACTTTGGCGGAGAAGGATCTGGAAGGTTTGCGAAAGGAGAAAACTAAAATTGCGGCGAAGATATCAGGTTTGGAGAAGGAGCTGTTGGAGGAGAAACAAAAAACAGACGAAACCAGGGAGGATTTGGAAAAAGAGATAGCCAATTTGAAGAGAAAATCCATGTCAAATGATCCATCCGCTCCCAAGATTTTGGAACTAAGTCAAAAGAACGAAGGTGAGTAACAATTTCTTTCAATAGGTGCATATGTTATGCTAAGGTCATATTTTACAGAATTAATGTCAAAACTGGAGGATGAAACCAGGAAGTACCACCAGCTAGTATCCAAACATGAATCGCTGGAGGAGGATCACGTAATGCTGAAGGCTCAGATGGAATCCGAAAGGCAAAAGTTGCAAGAACTAACCATCTTACGGAATAAACTGGAACAAGCAGATAGCATAGAGGCCATGCTGGTAAAGGAGAACACAAACCTCAGCCGAAAGTGCGTCGAAATGCAGAAGAAGATTGCTGCACTGGAAAGTAGCGCGGATAGTCGCATGGCCGGTTTAGAACTGGAGAACAAACGTCTGAAGAGTTCACTAGAAGATAAACAACATGAATACGAGCACTTGAGCCAGGAGACTGAAATGAATGCATACCAAGTGGCGCAGCTGAGAAAAGACGTAAGTGTACCGGAAATGACTGGATGTACAAAAGGATTTACTTTTGAACTTTACTTTTCAGAACGATGATCTTAGAGGCAAACTAGACGACTACGAGAGAATCAACAAAGCGCAGCGAACTTTGAGCGAGCACAATTCTCATCTGGAACAAGAACTTAAGAAGCTACATGTTCAGTGAGTATTCGGTTTTAGACGGATTACATACCGTGCTTTAATGGACGAGAGATTTTGTTGATGAGGATTGCATAGAACATGGGACTATTATTTACTTATTTGTCGACAGCCTAAGAGAAGGGTGGGGCTACGTACAATATGGCATTTTTTTTTAATTGGCGCATAAACTCAAGCTAATATTGAATCCCGAGCAAGGTCGGGCATAGTCAGCTAGTATAATATAAAATGTATACATAATGTTTACATAATGTTGTTAACAAATGGCTTTTGCGCCGTTTTCAAATGTTAGCACTGATATGACTTGTATGAAAAAGCGCTTATATGAATGATTTATTTTTCACCAAAGCAGCTACTTCTAAACAGTTCTAAACGTGATTTTATTAGATAAAGTTATATTTTTTAGGAACAATGCACAATTGAAAAATTCATGTAGCATTTTTTTTTAAATATGAGGGGTGCTCATATAGCCCCGATTCGACATTCGCTTTTTTTTGAAGATTTTTCAATTTTTTATATGGAAAACCAAAAAACTTCTTATTAAGTGTAAGGGTAAAAACCAGTTATGTAGCTGTTGAAGAAATATTTTCAAATCTTTATAAAAAAAAAAGAAAAAAAAAAAAACTATTTGAAATCCTTATTATCTAATGCAGTAATCTTACAAGACTTTTGATATTTTCAGCAAGTCTAACACTTTTTAAATATTCGCGGTAGAAATAAAATGATTTTTTAGACTAGGTTCAGTTGTAGCCCTCAAGCATTACGCTTGCAAGAGATAATTGTAAAATATAAACCATTTTTAATAGTGTGGCCATGGCAAAACTGTCCCACTTTCCCCTTCTCACCTCTCCAAACCAAATTCCGTATACTTACAGACTTGAAACAGCCGAGATGAACGTCAAGTCCGAGGTGGCCGCCACTCGCCTCCGGTACGAACAGCAAGTAACGAATCTGCACAACGAGCTGACCGGTTTGCAGCGTCAATGCGAGCGCTTCAAGCGTGATCGTGACACATTTAAGCAACTAGTGGAAGCCGCCCAGAAACAAATCGGTGACATGAAAGCCAATCGCCGTAGTTTAGCTTCGGTAACGAGCAGTAGCGGCGACGACGACGACAAGTCCAAGATCATTGGGCTAGAGCAACAGATCGGTTGCCTGGAGGATGAGCTTAGCGAAGCTCGGTTGGAAGCCAGCAAGGTACGAACGGAATTGATTTCCGAGCTGAGTGCTTCCGAGATCAAAATCTCCGAAATGCAATCGAAGATCAATGAACTTGAGGAGGAGAAAATTATCAGCGGAGGCAAGAGCAAGGTACCGGGAACGAAGACAAGATTAGAGCTTTCATGGCAGAAGGAACGCGAGGATCTACAACGATTGGTACAGGAGACTTCGACCTTAGCACGAGATCTCCGGCAGACACTGTTTGAAGTGGAACGGGAACGAGATAAGGAAAAACTGGAATCTAAACGTAAGATAGATCAGAACAAAAAGACAACCGAAGAAGAGATTGAGGAAGGCAGAAGGAAAGTTACCGAGCTGCAGAGTGATTTGCTTGAGCTGCGAGATGCTCATGCCAAACTAAGGACAGCAAACGAGAAGCTGAGACGTGACCGCGAACGATCTGAGCGGGAACGTGAGAGTGCTACCCGACGAAGGCTTGAAATTGAAGGCGACCGGAGAATTGGAGCTTTGCTGCAAACAGTGGATGAACTGGTCAGAATGGCACCGGAACTGCAGAGGTCTTCTGCCAGACACGAACCTACCACTACTACTACAAGCACAGGAAAGGTAAGTAACTAGATTTGTAACTCTTACATTTGGAAAGTTAAAAGTTACTAACTAGTCATTCCTACAGACCATCACAGCAAACGCACCCATTCCAACACCTCCGATGCGTCATAAGAGTCCCTCTCCAGGTCCCGGTGGCGCTACACCACAGTCGCCGACGATAACAGCAGTATTAACCAGACTGGCGGAGGCGTCGGATGATTTGAGACGCTACCAGCGTATGTGCGATGAGGACAAAGACAGGGAACGAATTAGACGTGGTGGAATGAGACGGTAGTGGTTACCTATTTCAATCAAACATGCTAAATTTTTAACTATTTCCTCTAATCTCAGAGCTGCGTCCCAAGAGACCGATTCCATAGAAGGCCATTCGAGCAGACCGGTTATGAGAATCAACCGAAATGGAGGAAGTTTGTACAAGAAGAGCTTGTCACTTGATCAATCTCTGCAGATTGAACAGCAAGGGGTAAGTTATACTGGATCCTAGATTCCTATTCAATACTGAGACTAATAAGCAATCAATTTTCAGCAGCTTATATGGAAGGAAGGCGATGACAGTATGTCTTCGTTGCAATCTCTCGATTCAGAATATGGCGCTAGGTATCAGAGGGATTCCAGCTTGGATTCACGCCTTTCCGGTGGTTCAACTCAAAGTGACATGCCGAGAATGAGAAAGAAGAAACGTGGTCTGATGGGTAAATTGCGCAGTTTGAGTTTGACCAGGGGTAGCAAGGGTAGCGAGAGTGATTTTTCAGTGAGTTTATACTGATTCAAACATCTATTGTTATAACTGTTCTAAATAAGCGGTTCCCACAGATTCAAGGATCCGACTCGGATCTCAGCATGGCGGGTGATATTCGTTCCAGCAAGACCAACCTAAAGGGAAAGCTATCCGGAATGTTCCGAAGGGCGGGATCATCTTCCCGGGCGAACAGTAGCGAAGCCCTTGATCGGGAGTTGCAGCGCCCAGTTGCAATTCAAACTTTAGGTAATGGACCCAATGCGGGAGTGGCGGGACAAGGAATACCGCCACGGCCAGTGTCCGGCAGCACGCCGCATTTAGCAAGAGTAAGTTTTATTGATCAACATTACATCCGCATTTAACCAAAATTTCTACAGCAGACTGGAAAACCTCCCACTCCATCGATGGCTCCCGTGCAAAGAAGAAGGGTGGTCGGATCGTCACAACCCGGAGCACCGAGTTCGGGGACACTTCCAAAGTAACAATTTGCAAAAAGGCACTTTTAGTTGATATTCTAAAATAAAGCTATCTCAGACAGAATTACGCATAAATTATTTCATCCTACTGATAGGTAGACCATCGAGATGCACCAATATTATTCAGTTTTCTAGTTGTTATTGTAAAAAACAATTTGTTGAAATGCAATGAAAATAAATTTATTGGAAAAAAAGTCTCTGATACACTTAGGCTGGGACGGGACTTGACAATCGAGCTTCTCCCTATTCTTAGTGTTTTTGTAGAATGCCCTTCGGATAGTTGCGCGTGGTGTTTGACGGAGTTGACCAATGATGCCAGGAATGTAATTTTATTTTTCTATTTTAATTTGGATTTTATTTAGAGTTACTACCGCAGTTTAACAGCTTGTACATAATGTTTGTTCAACACAATAAAAACAACGATACACAAACAAAAATATCCATCGCTTAAAACACGCAGTGCACTCAACTTTACAACTTTCCTTTCGCAAATATAAACAATTAACAACGCCATCGACGTCAACATTGATTCCGGCATCAGTGCCAGCCAGATTGATGCGATCCCTCTGTTATTTTTATTCCACGATTGCTACTGTCAAATCGACCAATCAGAAACTGGCTCGGATTTGACAGTAAATTGGCTCGAAATCGCTACCCGATTGTCAAGTCCCGTCCCAGCACTTAGGTACCTTTTGATGACTGCTGACAATTGCCGTTCGGACTGCGTTCAGGTTATTGCAAGAAAGTGCACCTGTATTTATATTGAATACTCAGACATTCTTTGAGTACTTCTACAGTTGTAATTGAGAGCTTTCTAAGTCTGTTCCATTTTTGCATTAGTATTAGTTACCTCTATGGTACTATCTTCGGTCCCAAGCTAATCGATGCACCCCTCGAAACATAGGAAAATCCACGATCCCCTCATTTTATCTATCAAACTTTCATAGCGAATCAAGACAACCATAGTGTAGTACTAGAATTTCGACTGAAATTGGGTACGTTAATCGATTTGCTTGGGACCAATAGGCTAGTCAAGTAGTGAGCCAATTAAAATCGTTAGTTTCCACCGGTTGCTATTACTTCGACAACATTGATCTAAGAAGAAACAGTCATGCTCGATTGGCTCCCGCAAGTGACAGGTCAAGCGTTCGTACAAAAAGTCTTTCGTTTCGAGATTCGTAATGCGACCCCAGAAAAATACCATGGCTTTTAAAAACTGCTCGAAAACTGATTAATAAAAAAAGAAATGGCCACTTTGCCGAGCAGTTTTGGCGTGATTTTCTACTACCGATTTCCCAAAATTGGACCAACTAATTTTTATTTTTTTATGAAACGCACATATGATGGCCACTTTTCTCGTGGTTCTAGAAGAAAAAATCTCAAAATAATGTTTTATTTCAAAGTTCGAGTGGTAGCAAACGTCATTTTAACTGCTCGAATGAAGTGATTAATTAATACATCATTCTAGTACTGAGGGAGCAGTTTCGCATGTGCACCCTGTATCGTTTGACAGCTTAATTTTTATGTCGTTCAGTGACGCGAATGTCAAAGAAAGAAAAACAAACAGCGCAAAGCGAAGAAAAAATAAATTATTAGCATCTTCATCGCGGTCGTCGCGAAACGAAATTAGAGTTTTTTCCGTTTTAAATAGCGTCGTGATTGCCAATAAAATAGTGAATCCCAGCTTGGCGTAAAGTGCATCCCGTGGTGTGTGAATGCATTCGCGTACGCGAATTGCAGTGAATCGAAAGGGAGAAGAATCAATATGAGTGCTACTTCGTCGCGAGTGAAATCCCGGAAGGTCCGTTCCGAGCTGAGTGTTTGTTTTGTGATAGCCTGCTCGGTAGCGGTTCTACTGGGGCACAGTGGCTGCAATGGCGAATCTACCGACATTGAGTTGGACGCCAAGGCCAACAAATTACACCAGATCGACAGTCTGAACCTGCTGCTCTATACGTTTCTCCTGACCCTGACGGTTCTGACGATTTGGCTGTTCAAGCATCGACGGGTGTCCTGGTTACATGAAACCGGACTGGCTGTCATCTACGGTGAGTCACAGTGTTACGTTACAGGCTCCTCTTACGTGTTCTTTGTGCCATTGGCTACTGATAACAGGGGCATCCTTTTTTGCGTTTTTTTTCACGTCTCGTATGTTTCATTATTATTGGCAAGGGTATAATCGCTAATGACAAAATCGATTTAATACCAGTATGATGAAGGTCTCGGGTTCATAAATTTGAGCAATAGAAGCTATATCTTTTGATAGTGGTAATAGTAGGAATAGAAACACAGGTTCAGATTAGAGACCATATGGTAAAAATCCTCAAGCGAGACAATTATCAGTTTGCAAGTTTGGATTATATTTCACTCAATGTTTGGATGCTCGTCCCTGTTCATTGAATATGACCCGTCGTTAGGGGTTTTTTTCTTTTTATCAATATTGTGTAGGATAGGAAGCGTGCAGCTGATTGCTGACTAAGGCATTATTATTATGTTCTGTTAAATATCTGTTTACACAATCGTTTCTGCTTGTAATGCATTTGTAGTACCTACATACATACAAAGTGTAAAACAAATAAAGGGTAGGAAATCAATCGCGGTGGTATTTGAAGGATACATCGTTTTGAATGGTTTTGGTAGTCGTGCTCGAATACTTACTGTGATTTTACTTAAAGATCCTGAATTTATTGATATAAATTAATATAAATAAATTCAGGCTTTTTAGTTTTACTAATAACGGAAAATCAATCGTGACGTTAGAAATCCACACTTTCTCTCTCTCTCTCTCCATTGTCACCTGTTAATCGTTTTTTAGCGGAGATATTCGCGGTAACTAACTAGAAGCGTGCCTCGGTGGTTTTGGTATTATCAGATCTTGACACTTGATTTATTACTTTGCGTATTTATTGACCATGAGGGGTTCGGTGTAAGTTAGATTGGATCCTCTAATGTTAAGTGTGTTGAAAACGGTGTCAATTTTTTTTAATTGTCTTTTTAAGTCTTTGAACTATTCTTTGACTGTAGGTAATGGAGTGCAAAAAGATCGTTAGTCGAAGAAATTTACACCAAACCAAATTGTTTGCTTGTTTGTACATAAGGACGATACCTGAATTATCAATTATGTCACCTGAAATTAATTATATATATTACTGAAATGAAACAATCAATTCTAGATTTTTCAAGCATTTTACAAATAAGACCCTATTTTCTCGAGGTTGTAGAAGAACAAATATTAAAATATTGTTCCACGTTAAAGTTCGAGTGGTAGAAAATGTCATTTTAAACTGCTCGAATGATGTGATCCATTGAGAAAAAAATACTATCTGGACCACTTTCGCCACAATGTTTATGCTTGTGTGACAATTTTGCAAAAATTGCAAAAGAGTCGTGTCCTCTGAAAATGAAGCCGATTTATAAAAACATGTCATTGTGCTTAGATAAATCATACTACGAATATTGATATTATACCGTAAAGGCTCGAAATCTGGACACTTTTAGAAGCTGATTATCTCTACCTAATATGCTCAAAATAGTACTTATTTATTATGTTGCTTCATCATTTTAAATAGTAAAATAAATGTCCGGGTTAATAAACCGCACTACCGTAAGCATTAACCACAAATATTATCGATACGCCACGGCTCAATAAGGGACCGCCTTGATCAACTTCGACCAAATTGGGAACCATGCGATAGTCTGTGCCAATGCAGCTCATCTGCCAAGTCCTTTCGGATTCTTTTCCCATATAACTTCAAATGGTTTGTGCCAAGTCAGTTTCTTACCAAATGAGTTTAAATTTTGGGAGGCTAATCAGGCAATTTGGAACCGCACAATGAGCAGCAGTCAGCACGAAACGTTCCGTTATCAACTATCTGCATATTTCCAATCGATCGTACCGGACCGAGTCGTCCAGCCATGTGAGGAAACTCGGTTCCATTTACGCTAGTCTCATTGTAGACGGCCAGGGGGCGACCCCGGCGTAGTGGTTAACCTCTCACGCCAAAGTCACGAGTTCAAATCTCACCCCCGTCACGAATGACCCAAGAGTGTTAAAGTGACTATAATAAAAAAAAAAAGTAGACGGCCATCTGATGTTTGTCTACACTGCGCCGGTGGAATCGAAAATGGCTGTCTTTGTAAAAACAAATCATAATAATTCGTTTCATGTGTCATTTATGAACTTTGGCAAACATCAGCCTTATACTTTTTATATGGAAAACCATATTCATCCTATGTAACCATATAATTTATATGTGCGATGATAATTTTACAAGTATTTAACACGTGTGCTTTTCTGGATAGTTTCTGTTTATGTGTAGACTTATGCATATTTTGTATGTGTAATCCTCAATAAAAGTAGGAATTTCCATACGTGAAGCATTAAAACGGTAAGATAGAAAAACCTCAACATTCAATAAACGTTCAACATGTAGGTATTAATTAAAAAAGGATACAACATGGTATAATTTTATTGATCAAAATCCAAATATCAAATGACCCACCTTGAACGGTAAAACTAGACAATAGTTTCGGTAGTTTTTGAGGAAATCTTAAGACGCTATAAATCAGTAAACTGGTTTCGGTAAAACCGGTTTATCAACCCCACTAGTTAGTCTTCGCTATAAAAATAAGCTCCTAAAACAGTATCAGTAAATTGACGTCACTGATCTTCCTCAACCAGCATTCTGGTTTTGCAGATTCCATTATCTCTTCATTTTAGCTTAGCACAATTCCTACCCTAGCAGCTATATAACTGGTGAGCAGTATTAGAGTAGATTGTCCTGTAGGAGGGCTTTTACAGTTTAGATTTAGAGTTTATGACCGCATCAAGGCGTAACATTTGAAAATGGCACAAAATCTTTTGTAAATAAAATGTTTAAGGGCCTTTACGCGCGAACCGAAGTACGCCCACGCAAACCAATACCACTATCGGAAAGGTGAGAATTTCCCCTACCCGATTATGTTATTGGTTTGCGTGAACTATTTCGGTTTGTGTATTCTGATTTATTTTGATTTTTTTTAATTAACATAAAACATACTCCAAAGGCATTTTGAGGATTCCCCTGTGACTTCTTTCATGAACATTGAGAATTATTCCAAGAGCTGTAAGACTTATGTACGTCCAGGTTAGAGGTTGATGGTTCATATTCAATGTAAACAGGCCTAATGCTAACTTTTAAGCCAAGTTTATTTATTCAACTGATTGATCGTCAACATGTAACAACTCCCTTCTCAACAAAACCGCAAATTGCAGGTTCTACTTCGCGATTCTTGTACCGTGTAATTTCATCGCGTCATTTTATAGCCAGAACACAGAAGTCCCGTTTTCCATCCTTGGTACTGCACGTACTTCCAATATAAAGCGTCTTATTCTCGTAGGTCAATGTCTCTTGATGGGGTTTGGATGTTTCGGTTTTCAGTTTGAATACAAACTGTTCTATCCAGGGGATCAACGGTGCTACATTGGTCGTAATCAGCGGACTGTTCCGTAAGCATTAACCGCAAATATGATCGTTTCGTCATGGCTCAGCAGGGGGCCACCTCGATCAACTTCGACCAGATTGGGAACCAAGCCATAGTCGGTGCCGATGCAGCTCATCGTATTGCCTACACCCAACCGGTGGATGTAAGATTCGCTTACAATTATGTGGGATTCATCATCAGAGGATGTAAGTGGAGACCGCATGAACCGAGGATGCGATATACCTAGCTGCGGTCTTATGCAAGAAAATTGGAGACCGAAAAATGTAGAGTGTATTAGTGAGGTAAATTTATTATGTCGAAAAAAAAATAGGAAAAAGGTTGCCGACTGAACTCGAACCACGAACGTTGCGATTATCAGACCTGTGCTTTCTCCACTGCTCTCTCCATGCTTCTGAATAAGGATAGCCTAAAAGCAAACAAGAAGCATTCCTTTCCTCTCACACTCGACTTCGTATGCTTTTTCTGCTGGAGAGATTCGCGGCTAGGGTGTGCGTCGTTCTACCATGTTATACATAAAAATCAAGGCAAATGCTTACTTGTGTAGGTGAAAGCACAGACAGAACACGAAATAAAAAAGGCAAAAAACCATTACATCGCCTGTAAGGTCAACTTCTAACATTCGCTGCGATGTTCATGAACAGAGGATGATAGGAAATGGAACTAACATTCATTGTAATAGATTTTTGGTTTGCGTGTAGTCCTTGCGGAAATTTAGAAGAATACTCTATGTCGCTGATTATTGCCTGCTCATCACCACGGGACTTCGAAGGAAGGTAGATTTGAATTGTTTGCAGGTATGGTGATTTTGGTGTCCTACAGGAGAATGTCTCCGGTGTTATCTGGTGACCATGTATAGCACTAGGATATCGAAGACATACGAACACAATCCACTCCGCTACGGCTACATACCGATCAAGGCCGAGAAGAGTTATATCCTTGTAGTAAGATCCTTGCTTGGGGATGTATTTCTATATCCACTATTTCTGCCCATCGATCTATGATAGAAATTCTAATAGGCGATTCCCTTTGAGAGTTGGAGGTACATCGTGCCGATGTGATGACAACATTGTAGTCTACAAAAGTGCCTCCACATGCACCATCTATCCTAGAATTCTTCCAATGCAGGTTAACTCTACTAAAGTATGGATCAACCTCTTCTGTTTCACCTGGCATTTGCCGATGCACATTCGGTTGCATTCACTATGGTGAGCCATGCTTTCAGTAAATCTGGACTACTCTGCACAGCATATTCAGTACCTCGAACCAATCGTATGGATTCACTTCTTTCGACCAGTTACATACCGGACATACCCCTGCAGTTAACCTGGATTGATATGACCACTTTAAGGCTTCCGTTCCCACAACAAAACAATCAACAACATACTCAACTTTTTTCTCAACTCCACCAGTGCTAGATCATTGTACTTTTGGCGTGATTTACGATCAGGATGCTTAATTATCCGTTTTATTTTGAACTGTTGTGCGATCGTCAGTAGTCAATTCCAGATGGACGTCTCGCAATCGAACCAAATCCGGAGGGTTTCTAGACAAATAACGCCTCAAA